GAATGAAAATACATCCCACAAATCAGATATTTACATTACGATTCATAACAGTAGCAAAATGACAGTTATGAAGTAGCAATTAAACTAATTTTATGGTTGGGGGTCACCGTAACATGAGGAAGCGTATTAAGGGGTCGTGGCATTAGGAAGGTTAAGAACCACTGGTTTATCTACTTTAATAGCACTTTGGTGGTTGATGCACCTCAGACATGGCAACAAAATGGTCAACACTTGGAAAAGTTATGAGCTACTAGTTACCAGTTACGGACAGGATATAAAAGTTTACTCTCAAAAAAGGTCACCTTTTCGAGATTGAAGTGAGGCCATTTTCCCACCTGGTGCATCAATCAATTAATTAATTAATTTATATCCCATCTTTTCCCCAACAGTGGGAAGCAGGCTGTTAAAAATATAGAGGAACAATAGAATCACATTTAGCATCCAGTCTTGCATTTCCAAACTACAAGAGCACTGGATTCCCCATTTCAACCATTTCTACTTTTGGGCAGCACCCTGGTCCCATATTGGTTGAATAAGTAGAGCAGGGTTTCTCAACCTGGGGGTCAGGACCCCTGTGGGGGTCGTGAGGGTGTATCTGAGGGGTTGCCAAAGACCATTAGAAAACACAGTATTTTCTGTTGGTCATAGGGGTTCTGTGTGGGAAATTTGGCACAATTCTATCATTGGTGGGGTTCAGAATGCTCTTTGATTGTAGGTGAACTATAAATCCCAGCAACTACAGCTCCCATATGTCAAGGTCTATTTTTTTCCCAAACTCCACCAGTGTTCACATTTGGGCATATAGAGTATCCGTGTCAAGTTTGGTCCAGATCCATCATTGTTTGAGTCCACAGTGCTCTCTGGATGTAGATGAACTACAACTCCAAAACTCAAGGTCAATGCCGACCAAACCCTTCCAATATTTTCTATTGGTCATGGGAGTTGTATGTGCCAAGTTTGGTTCCATTTCCTCATTGATGGAGTTTAGAATGCTCTTTGGTTGTGGGTGGACTATCAATCCCAGCAACTACAGCTCCCAAAATCAATTCCTCTGAACCCCACCAGTATTCAAATGTGGTCGTATTGGGTATTTGTGCCAAATTTGGTCCAGTGAATGAAAATACATCCTGCATATCAGATATTTACATTACAATTCATAACAGTAGCAAAATCACAGTTGAGAAGTAGCAACAAAAATAATTTTATGGTTGGGGGTCACCACAACATGAGGAACTGTATTAAGGGGTCACGGCATTAGGAAGGTTGAGAAACACTGAAGTAGAGGATACCTGCATATTGGTTCAATGCCACAACTTCATCTTCTCGGATTTGCAGATTTGGTAAGGTATGGGAAATTCCCCACCAGGGAACTCTAATCTACTTTCCTGAACACTAACACCAGCAAGAGCTAGCAAATAATTTCAAGTACTGCATCAATTCTAAAAAACCCATGACTCCGTAGGATGCAGCCATGACAGTTAAATGATATCAAACTGCTACAAATGTGTACTGTAGATACTCTCACTCTCAACTTGTCAATCCAAAAGCAATTCCTTCCTCTTGTTCTTTCCACCTTTTGCCATCTGCATGCAAGTTTACTCCACATAACATTCCACGCTTGTCATTCAGACTATACACTCACCTTACTTAGCCATATAATTCAGAAATATAAATAGCAGAGTTATTCAGACTCAACCCCACCAGCAGCCATGGGCTTTTGTGCCGGCTGGGGCTCTCCACCCCCATTGATACACAGTCCTGGAGAGACAGCAAAGCCCGGAGGTTTATCAAATACAACTTCAGCAGGAATGGGATAATTCTCTTTGAAACTCATGCTGTGAGAAATTTGTTTTCATTCCTAGCACCAGATATGCAATTTTTGAAGAGTGCTGCAGAAGCAACTTCAGATAACAAAAAAATGAAGCGTGTTATTTCCACATCTTAGGCAGCTCTCCATAAGCCAAGGTACTCCAAGCATAACCTGTTGGGAAACCCTCCAGGAAGGTGGGAAGAACAAAAAAATGCCCAGCTTGCTCTTGATGCAACCGTATGCAGAAGAACGCCAGGTAGAAGGAAGCACGTGGCATCGTGCCAAGGTAAAGGCTCTCTGATGGCTGGCTACCTCCAACACAGTAAGATATTCCATAGGGGAGTTACAGTCCCTACTGTCTGCACCAGTAATAAAGAATGAGGTGCTAGATAGATCTGTTGTTTAATCTGGGATTTGGTTTGGTCATATCCCATGCTGGTTAGTAGTTCTGGGGATAGACCCAGAGATGCAATTTTGCCTAGTATCTCCCTTTGCCAATTGGATTGAAAGTTGTCCTTCATAATGAGAGGTGCAAGGCCCAGTGGAGAGAGGGATAGTCTGAGCCAGTAATTCAATATTACCACCCACACCCTGGCCTCAACTCTCAAGGAGCCAGTCTCCAGGCGTAGGGTGGCATTGGAGACACACCTTGGTACCTGGAGAGCCAATCTTAAGAATTTGGACTGAACAGTCTCCAATGGGGGCGAAGTCAGAAAAGGGACCAATCTGAGAACCGTAAAGAAGTTGCGCCATTAACTTGGCTTCAAAAAGTTTGAGTGGTGTTGATATAGTGTCCCCCTTTTGACTTCAGGTATTTTAGTATGGCAGATGAACTGCTTTGTGCATTCTCAGCCACATAAACTCCGTGTGCTTTTCAGTTGACGGAAGAGTGGAGGACTACCCCCAGATATTTGAAACATGGGACTTGCTCAATTTTGTTTCCATCTATACTCCAATGGTGAAGCTTAGGTCTTTTGGCAAACACCATAATTTTTGTTTTCTGGTAGTTAAGTTGTAACTGATTTTCCCTACAATATTGTGCCAATGCTTTCAATGCTCTTTTGAGGCCTATTGGTGTTCTTGAAATCAGAGCTGCATCGTCAGCATAAAGTAGGATGGAGATATGTTTCCCTGTGTGTTTTGGAGGGTGAAAGTCCATGTTGTACAATTGGTCCACCATAGAGTTAATGTATAGGTTGAATAATGATGGCACTAAGATGCATCCTTGTTTGACTCCTTTCTCTGTGCTAACTGTGTTTCCGAGGTGGCCTTGTGGGTTTTATTTTGAAAGATGTCCCTTCATGGAGTTGACGGATAAGATGGAGAAGCCGTCTGTCAATTGAGGTGCCTTCTAATTTTTCCCATAGTTTGTATACCATAATAAAATATGTTTAAAAACTTGTTTTTCATTGTAATTATTGTATTGTTTTAAAGTGTTTTTTGCACTACAAATAAGATATGTGCAGTGTGCATAGGAATTCATTCCTTTTTTCCCAAATTATAATCTGGCCCTCCAATAGTTTGAGGGACTGTGACCTGGCCCTCTGTTTAAAAAGTTTGAGGACCCCTGGAATAGATGATGTATTGGGAAACCCACTGGATTTATTATTTTATTTATTTCGAAATTTTGTATACCGGTCTTCTCACCTCCATCGAGGGACTCAGGCCAGTTTCCAACAACAATATCACAAACAATCATTAAAAACATCATATTCCATATTACAATAAAACATTAAAAGAGCAAAATACAGTCATATTATTACAATGGTCAGTCGTCACAATAAAATCGTTGTCCATCATCATCTATCCATATCACAGGATATTGCCTCACTCGTCGAATGCCAGTTTCCAGAGCCAAGTTTTCACCTGTTTTCTAAACGTCAGGATAGAAGGGAGTTCCAGAGCCGAGGGCCCACCACTGAGAAGGCCCTGTCCCTCATTCCCACCAGACGCACTTGTGAGGCTGGTGGGGCCGAGAGCAGGGTCCCTCCAGACGATCTTAACAATCTTGATGGTTCAGAGGGGAGAATACATTCGGACAGGTAAACTGGGCCGGAGTCGTTTAGGGCTTTATAGGTTAGCCCCAGCACTTTGAATTGTGCTCGGAAGCTAATTGGCAGCCAGTGGAGCTGGCGCAACAGAGGAGTAGTATGCTCCCTGTACCCCTTAGGTAAATCACATGCTCTCAGCCTCAGAGGAAGGCAATGGCAACCCACCTCTGAAGACATATTGCAAACAAAGCATACAGCAACAAATCCCTCCCAAAGACCTGGACCTTAAAACAATAAAACTCATTATATGTCTTTCTAATTTACTCAATCGCGCTGGTGCTTAAAGGTTATATCAAAACAGACAAGACAGAGATAGAGTTTTGGAAGTTTGCTCAACCTTCCCTTTAAAACCAAATTACCCTTAAATAGGAGATTTAAGACAAACTACAGTGGCTGCTGGAAAAGTGATGGAACTGCCGCCTGCCAGAGGAACTAAATAGGGGAGAGAGACAATGGATCACTCATCCTTTATAACCTCCTCATTATGGCTCCTTTGTAGTTCTAAATTATAGGTCTGTAAAGGTACCTGGCTTAATTGTCTTGTAAGTCACTGTCATGCCTGCCTCTTTGCGAAATGTCGCGGCGCAGGAACGAAGGCTGCCTCCGCAGTTCCTTTGTTACTCCCTTGCATGAACAGCAAACATTTCAATCACTTTGGAAAAGCACCCTGGTTCTCCCTTCCTCCTCCTTCTCCTTTGTGTGCCAAACAAATTTATACTGAAATGGCAAAGATGGGAATAAAAAGAAGTTTGGTGTGGAAGCAGCAGAATCATAAAAACACGTCTGCTTGGAAGCACTTCAAAAGACATATTGCAGGACATGGTAGGGTTGCTTTGGAGAAAGTAGTGGTGGATGGCGCAGGTTTAGATGAGTGGTTTCCAACTCATAATTAAATGGATCCAAGAAATGGGCATTGTGCACATAGTATGTAGATACAATGGAAACATGACACTTATGTGGTTCAAATGCTCTTCTAGCTGTCAAGGGGAAATCATGTTAGTTCTTCAGATACATGAAATGGGTCAGAAATCTGCTTTTTTCAGTGTGGAATGGCTAAGCCGAAACGCCATCTAACAGACGTGCCCAACTGCCTTGTATCCTCTCCAGGAATGTTTGATCTCCATTTGTTTCCAGCTTACCTTTAAAGAAGCGTGCTTCTCTTTTCTGCCAACAATCAATACCTCTGCCGTATCTTCAGCGCGTGCTGACCGGGCGTGGATAAACAAGGCTGTGCCGGCTTCTGATAAATTTCTCAGTGCAACTAAAGCCCCGTCGGGTTCCACTTTGAAGTCTGGGTTGGAAACTTTGAAGTTCAATCTGTGATTTCCTTGGCAGTCATCAAATATCACTGAAGGGGGAGGGGGAGGGGGGATGAAAGAAAAAACAGCAACAATGGGATTTCATTAAGTACCATCCTATATCTTCAGGGGAGGCATTCAAAGGGCTAGAGATTAAGGTGAGTTTCCAAAATGAACTGCAGTCTTGGTTCACAACATTGGTAAGAATTGTCCAAAGGATTATGGCCATGTGAGATTAAGGTCCATGTATCTCCACCATTGTCAAATCCAACATGAAAGATGACCAGACCTTTACATGCTAAACACTAAATGATACTGTGGAACAGAAATGAGCCAGATTGGTGCCATGCTTTGTGTATTGGAGCATGATTCTGAAGACCAAGTTCTTGGACATGGAAACCCAGTGAAAGTCCTTGACTAAGTTGTTCTCAACCACAGAAAACCCCATGATGGGTTGGAAATGGCTTGAAGGCAACACAGCTCTTTCAGGATACATCTAACAACTATTAGCATCTTCCTCAACACAGGGACCTTTACATGAACATGAGTCATTTGGACAATATTTACAATTATTGTAAATTGAGACTGCAATTCAACAACAACAATACTAAAAGCAGTAGAGAGAGAGAGATGACAAGATGAAGTATCTACTCTAAGCTGGCTACTCTCTCTGGGTAGTGAGGAATATGGAGCTTTCCCATTCTCCTGATAGGCTACAGTTATGGGACTGGTGACAATGAGAAGTAATGTTTCAGATAAAAGAAACTGATTCCCAGTTGCTATTTGTGTTTTCATTTTAGTTTTGGAACTGGAGTGTGAATAACTATGTATGGGTTGTTGTAGGTTTTTCCGGGCTATATGGCCATGTTCTGGAGGCAATTTTTCTCCTGACGTTTCGCCTGCATCTATGGCAAGCATCCTCAGAGGTAGTGAGGTCTGTTGGAAGTAGGAAAAATGGGTTTATATATCTGTGGAATGACCAGGGTGAGACAAAGGACTTTTGTTTGCTGGGGCTAGCTGTGAATGTTTCAGCTGATCACCTTGATTTGCATTCAATGGCTTGGAAGCGCCTGGGGGGAATCTTTTGTTGAGAGTGATTTCATGTGCCTGTTTGTTTCCCCTCTGTTGTTTTGCTGCTGTAATTTTTGAGTTTTTTAATACTGGTAGCCAGATTTTGTTCATTTTCATGGTTTCTTCCTTTCTGTTGAAATTGTCCACATGCTTGTGGATTTCAATGGCTTCTCTGTGTAGTCTGACATGGTGGTTGTGGAGTGTGGTCCAGCATTTCTGTGTTCCCAAATAATATGCTGTGTCCAGGCTGGTTCATCAGGTGCTCTGCTATGGCTGACTTCTCTGGTTGAAGTAGTCTGCAGTGCCTTTCATGTTCCTTGATTCGTGTTTGGGCAATGCTGCGTTTGGTGGTCCCTATGTAGACTTGTCCAGAGCTGCATGGTATACGGTAGACTCCTGCAGAGGTGAGAGGATCCCTCTTGTCCTTTGCTGAACGTAGCATTTGTTGGATTTTCTTGGTGGGTTTGTAGATTGTTTGTATGTTGTGTTTCCTCATCAGCTTCCCCATGGACAAGAAGTCTCCAGAGGGACCCCCAAACGCAGCGTTGCCCAGACACGGATCAAGGAACATGAAAGACACTGCAGACTACTTCAACCAGAGAAGTCAGCCATAGCAGAGCACCTGGTGAACCAACCTGGACACAGCATATTATTTGTGAACACAGAAATGCTGGACCACTCTAACAACCACCATGTCAGACTACACAGAGAAGCCACTGAAATCCACAAGCATGTGGACAATTTCAACAGAAAGGAAGAAACCATGAAAATGAACAAAATCTGGCTACCAGTATTAAAAAAAACTCAAAAATTACAGCAGAAAAACAACAGAGGGGAAACAAACAGGCACATGAAATCACCCTTAACAAAAGATTCCCCCCAGGCGCTACCAAGCCATTGAATGCAAATCAAGGTGATCAGCTGAAACATTCACAGCTAGCCCCAGCAAACAAAAGTCCTTTGTCTCACCCTGGTCATTCCACAGATATATAAACCCATTTTTCCTAGTTCCAACAGACCTCATTACCTCTGAGGATGCCTTCCTTTGTCTCACCCTGGTCATTCCACAAATATATAAACCCATTTTTCCTAGTTCCAACAGACCTCATTACCTCTGAGGATGCTTGCCATAGATGCAGGCGAAACGTCAGGAGAAAAATTGCCTCCAGAACATGGCCATATAGCCCGGAAAAACTTACAACAACCCATGGATTCCGGCCATGAAAGCCTTCGACAATACAATAACTATCTAATTTCTCCCCAACGCCAGAATTCCACTTCCAAAAGTTATAAGAGTTACAGGTTAAAACACACATCAGTAAAGTCATGCAAACTGTATCAGAAAAGCCAGTGGAGTTAAAAGCAACTTAACTAGCATACTTATTAAAAAGGGGGCATGTGTCGGCAACAGAGCACCCTATTAGAAGCGATTCTGCATTTAGTATATGAGAGTGGATGTGTTCCCATGAGTCTATTTTTGGCTGGGACAAGAGTTTTAATGTGAAATCCAAATAAATTGGGTATTGAAAAAGTCTAGACAGCCTGGAATGGTCAAGGGCCATAACGAAGCTTTAAAAAAGAATGATGTGTGGATCTCAGGCTGAGCAAAATCAAGACTGCCAGGATTTTACAATGATCCTCTACTTTCCAGCTGTATTATATTTTCCCCCTTGGCTAAAGCACAGGTAACAAAACTCCAACCTTTTATCTTTTTTGGACATTATCCTCAAAGGAAATGAGGCATCATTTTGCCCTTTACATATTTATATAGCCACTCTAAAGTTGATTTATTCTCCGAGGGGGGGGGGGGAGATGCGGCAGTTATTCTATCTTCAATCTATTATGTGCTTGCCAGTAACTTACAAAATATAAATTGCAGGAAAGTCCAGTAGACTTGAGCGCAGATCTGTTTGGAGCCACTTCCTTCGGCTCCTTTGGATCTTTCAGGAGCCCGCAATGGTAAGGGCCCTTCTGGCTCAAATCCCCACCCGGAATGAAACCAAGGGGGAGCCAATCTCGGCTCCTTCTCCCCTATTCAGCATCACAGTTTAATCTCTTTGATTTTCCTTGATTTTCTTGATTCTTTTTATTTAGTGGGATTGAATGGGAGCTGGGGACATGCGGGGAGGGGTAGGTGGGGGGCTTGGGATCCTTCTGGAACGCCTCATAGATAGGTGTTACTGGGTGACACCTGTTCGGCCCCACAGCCGTTGTCGTGTGGAGTCCCACAGGGTTCAATTCTGTCCCCAATGTTGTTTAACATCTACATGAAGCCGCTGGGGGAGATCATTCGGAGTTTCGGACTGAGGTGTTATCTCTATGCAGATGATGTCCAGATCTGTCACTCCTTCTCACCTGTCACCAAGGAGGCTGTCCAGACCTTGAATCGGTGTCTAGCTGCTGTGTCGGACTGGATGAGAGCTAACAAATTGAAACTGAATCCAGACAAGACAGAGGTCCTACTGGTCAGTCGTAAGGCCGAACAGGGCATAGGGTTACAGCCTGTACACTCCCCCTGAAGACGCAGGTTCGCAGCTTGGGAATGATCCTGGACTCATCGCTGAGCCTGGAACCCCAGGTCTCAGCGGTGGCCAGGAGAGCTTTTGCGCAATTAAATCTTGTGCACCAGCTGCGCCCGTACCTTGGGAAGTCTGATCTGGCCACAGTGGTCCATGCTCTTGTTACATCCCGCATAGACTACTGCAATGCACTCTATGTGAAGTTGCCCTTGAAGACTGTTTGGAAACTCCAATTGGTCCAGAGAGCGGCAGCCAGATTGATCACCGGAGCGACATACAGGGAGCACACCACTCCCGTGCTGTGTCAGCTCCACTGGCTGCCAGCTCAATTCCGAGCACAATTCAAGGTGCTGGTTTTGACCTACAAAACCCTTTACGGTTCTGGTCCAGTGTATCTGTCCGAACATATCTCCCTCTACATCCCACCCCGGAATTTGAGATCATCTGGGGGGCCCTGCTCTCGACCCCACCGCTTTCCCAAGTGATGCTGGTGGGGACGAGGAGCAGGGCCTTCTCAGTGGTGGCCCCTCACCTGTGGAACTCACTCCCGGGGGAAATTAGGGCTTCAACATCCCTCCTCTCCTTCAGGAGGAAGATGAAGATGTCGTTGTGGGACCAGGCCTTTGGGCAATCTGACAATTAGATATGGATAATTGGATAGGATTGAAAGGATAGGACTGGAAAGACAATTGTGGAATTGGAACTGGAACTATGAGACTGTGAAACGCTGACTGTCAATGAGGTTTGTATTGGTTTTATTGCTTTTATTGGTGTTATGGTTGTTCTGTCTATAATAACTATTGTTCTGTTAATTGTTTGTTATTGCTAGGATTGTGTTTTTGCTAATTGATGTTATTGTCCTTTGCTGTTATGTGATGCGGGCATCGAATTGTGTCTCGCTTTTGTATGCTGCCCTGAGTCCCCCCTCCCCCCGGGGTGAGAAGGGCGGGGTAGAAGCAACCGAAATAAATAAATAAATAAATTGGGAGAGTCACCCTTTTAGCTCCTTCCCCTCCTCTCCTTCAAATATTTCTAAAGGACAATAATAATAATAATAATAATAATAATAATAATAATAATAAATCCCAACAAACAAAAATAAAACCCTTGTTCTCTGAAAACTACTACCACCCAGTTACCTCTCCTTTAGAGTAGAAAGAAACAGCTTTAAGGAAGGATTAAACCCAGAGATTGAAGTGTGACCACTTCCAGAGAGGGCCTGCAGTACAGCAAAACGAGGGCTTTTTAAAGGAAGCCCAGGAAAATAGCTCCAGGTTGATTACTCTGTCATTCCTGGAAAGTGGGAAGCCTCCTTAAATGCCATGGAAAGGTGTGTGCAGGGAGATAGTGCTTTGCTTTTGATCCTATTCAACACTGAAATGGAGCCCTGGAGAACTCAGAAGTTGAATTATGCTCTTAGTTTGAAAGAGATTTCCCATCCATGCTCTAATGCACTCCAA